TTAAATTTTAACAAGAGTGAAGAACGCAATATTTTGGGCAATTTCTGCTATATTCTTACACTGGCTCACTCATTTTCTGGACATTTTACTGGCTGGTAGGAAAAGTTCTGGAAAATTTCAGATGCAACTGACCCAAACATTTGCATTCCCACGTACAGCCCCTCTGAAAATTTCAGGAAAAAGCTCAGTGCATGTCTTAGCTAAAAAATGTGTGTTTAACCCACCCATGAGGTCACTGATGGTCTCTGAGCCCTGGCTGTGCTCCCTCCTCTCCGTCTCCAGAGCCGCCTGCAGGCTGATGCATTCCTTCTCCAGACTCAGCTTGCTGCGCTCCAGCAGGCAGCATTTGTCCTGCAGCTCGCGTACGTTGGCCTCCAACTGCTGCAGCTGCTTGCTGTTCTCCGTCTGGGCTTTACGTAGCCTCGTCGCTGCCTCGGACTCGGCCCGCAGCAGCGTGTTGGCCTCTTCCAGCTGATAGAAGAATGTAGAACGAAAGAAAAATGTTTGAAGATCAGTTAAGTGTTTGATTTAGTCACTCTTCAATTTTTTAAATGTCTCTGTTAACATTTATGATATGTTGTGACACTTGTACATACTTTCAGATATAATACTTTTATTTTGGGGAAAAAAGAAAACACTCAGTACCATACATAAAACAGTTTAGAAGCCCCTGTTTAGATGTATTTTCTTTTTAACCTTTGATATCTGTTTATATCAAGGCTTTATTCCATACTTTCTCCATTTTACAGCAGTGAAACAACAGATAATCTCCTCCTCCTCTATATAATAACCTTTAAACTGAAATATTTGTTAAGAAAAAAACTTCAAATTAGTGTATTTGCCAATAATATTAAATATATGTAGTGTATAGTCAAGATTTTTTTTTTACAACACAGATTTCTTGACATGTAACTTCAGTGAGCAGCACTGACCTGTTTCTGTAGGTGAATGTTCTTCTCATTGGAAATGTGTGAATTCTGGTTTCTTCTCTTCATGTCATCCAGCTGATCTCGTAGGCTGTTGACTGTGTGCCACAGAAGAACACAGACCGACACATGAACCCTGCTTTCATTAAGTCTCTAAGTAAAGCTCAAGCATGCACCAAGTTTCTTATTTAAGATGTACAACACAGCCTTCAGGTGAGAAGTTTAAAATGTTCATACCTAATCACCAACAGTTGAAAAGAGCATGGATGCACAATGTTAAAGTCAATTCTCATATATTTACTTGTAAATAGTATTAATCCTTCATTATTAAAGGACTGGTGTGTAGGGTTCAGTGGGATCTATCAGCAACCTCACTGCTTATTGCCACTAAATCACACTGGTCCTTTAATCACTGATGAGTCGGAGAATCACGGAACAGGACAACAGTCAATTAAAAAATAATCTGATGGACAAAGTTTCCCCTTAAACCATTTTCCTCTGGTTCCCCAAGTCCTTCTGACCAGGTGATGGCAGTATTATCCACAGTATCTCAGTAAGAAAAGTAACATTAACATTTGTTATTACCAATAGACAAAATAAGAGTGTATTAAATTCACACAGGAAGCTAACTGTACAGAATCCTCTGTTTAAACAAAAGCCTGTCAACACTATAATTGTAGGAAGCATTAAATCTGCTCCACAACAATTCATTTCAGTGTTTCATACTGTAAAATATTTAAGTTTATTATTATTAATTCACTGCGTCACGTGTCAGACTATGACTAATAATATGATTATTGCCTTTAAACCTAACAAAGAGAGTGTAAGGTCTCATATTTGGAACTAAAAAATGAAAGTTAATTAAAAACTAAATACCATTTGATTGATACATCATCTAGAAGTCATTATCTGGTTGTCTCACCTTCATTCTCCAGGCAGCGCTTCCTGTCCGCCTCGCTCTCAGCCTTTCGGTGACTCTCCAGGCTCTTGTGCTGCAGCAGGGCCTTTTCTCTCTCCAGCTGCCTCAGACTCGACTCCAGGTTCTTTCTCCCGCTCACCTAAAATCGTTCATTAAACACTGTTCAACGTGTCCTGTAGGGCTGGTTTTCACGGTGCGGTGATTCCACAACTTTATGAGCAACTGTTCCTGAGAATCCAACTGGGATTTAACACTAATCCCAAACCAGACAGACATTTTAATGTGGCTATTAGAATTCTGCAAACGCTCCAACTGATCCTCACTGGATATGACACATTGGTATTCACCCGAAACATGTTAAAGTGGGGATAATTGGAAATCATCATTCTGACTTAAAGAATGGTTTTTAGGAAAGGCCATAAAAAAAGGATGAAGAAGATGTAAAACAAAAATGATCCCACAGTAGAATCTGCATTGTTGCAAAAGCAAATATTAGTAGAACAAAAGCCAAAAACATTCAAGTGACAGGTGTCTGCTCTTAAGATTTTCTCTGCGGTGGATTGAAAATTATTAGTTTACCTCGTCCTCAAGTTCTTTAGAGATTTTGTCCAGACGACTAGTGGCAGCTCTGCAGGAAGTGGACATGACATTCATAAGACTTTGACTATAGGTGACACTGTGCTCTGACTGTGTTGTTGGTGCAGCAGCTACTGCACCTGAATTTGTGCTCCAGTTCGTCTTTGACCTGCTTCTCATTATTCAGCTGCACCTCTACGTGGCGAAGTTTCTTCTGCAATGCTGCCGACTGAAAAAAAGTTTTTAAAAAAATCAATCAATTACACACAGACACAACACATTTTCAAACTGATAATCACATTTATTCAGTTACTAATTGATGTTGTCGGGTCATTAATCAGTTTTGTTTTGGTCCACTTTATCCCTCATATTCTGGCTGTGCCTCCCTTGTTGCGTGTGGCAGGTGAGCTGCATGTCCACAAAATGTTGGGACTTTTTCAGTGCGTTTACCAGAAACACACCTCATATATTCTAGAGCGAATCAAACAAACACAAAGTTGGACAGGTCCTGAGGAGGGACACATTGACAGGATACTACTGCACGGCAGAAAATGACCGGGCCAAATGTGCTTCTGCCCTGATCCTGAAGCAGTAGTGGTGGAAATTTTGCAGCCGCAAAAAATAAACACAGTGGAACGATGTGATTTAAAACAGAGCCAACAGAGTTTCCTCTCCTGTGGAGATTATATTTTACTTGACATTTAGGCTGTTGACTTATCATGGTGATGGCCGACAACAGTCGCCTATTTATGCATCAAGCAGAAACTGAGCCATTATTAGCATTCATTTGGAGCCATGATTCTGACTTGAAATATACGCTTCTGGAGACAAGGAAACCATTAAGCCTCAAAATAAATACAATTCTGTTTGGGACACACATGTTGCCAATTTCTGCTGAGCTAAACTTTAAAAGGAAATTGAATTCGATTGCATAGACCACATTAACAACAAAGCCAGTTTTGCAATGACAGTGGATCAAGAGTGAATGTAAAATAAAACCTGGGTCTCTAACTGTGGTGGGTGGCCGTCTTTTACGACTCAAGTCAGTACGAGTTCCCCAGATTAGCTTTTAGCTCAACCACTTACACTGACTACTGCTCAAGTCTTTGTGTGCAGCTAAGAACAGAAGAAATTCTACAAAAGTACTAATAAATCATGGGATCAGAGAAAGAAATCCTCTTCTGAGTCATTTCCATCATAATCCTTAATGCCTCTCAGTGCGACGAAGTAAACTGATGCCTGCCTTATTCCCTAAGAAGCTCAGGCCGGCCTCTATTACTGCTGCAGCTGCTGTGGAAGTGAAAGTACCTACCTCTCCTTTCGCATTCTCGTGGGTCACAGAGGAATTGTTGCAGGATTTTAGTAATCTGAAGAAGGAAATGAATAAAATCAACACAAAGTCAGGACCACTGCTGAGCATAAAAAAAAAAATCTATAATCTATCTTTTGATGTATGTGGAAGTGTTGCTGTGCCAAAGATGAATGGAGACAGCTGGAAAAACTGATGACTCACTGATCTTCTTTGAAGTAAGTGAAGCCAACAAAGGGTAACTGATTTCCAACAAAGGCTTTAGGTGTGGGAAAAGTTTCTACATCGCCTTTGTCATCTTCAATCTCATCAAAGTTGCTGGTGTCTATGTCACTGCTCAGCTCTGGGACCACAGGAGCAACCGCTGGAGAGAGAGACAGAGATGGAGAAAGAAAAAGGGGTAAGGGGGGAAACGCTGGAAAAAGGAAGTGCTGTGTAATAAAACTCTGAAAGGACTAATAAATTATCTTGTTTTTTTTTTCTTCTGTTCATGTGCAGTTTGTATCAGAGTCATACAAAAGGCTAATTTTAAGAGCATGGCTGAATTGCATTGTCATACTGTCTCTGATGGTGTCAAAGGTCCACTGGTCGTTCTTAAAGAAAGGATGCCGCTTGATTTCCTCCACACCATTCCTGCCCAATCGCACCTCCCTCAAGACAAAGACAGTGAATGAGTTGTTGAGCAGTGAGTAACAAGTCCTTTTTTTCTGGTGTCAGGAAAACATGAACAACTGTCTTTTCTGAAAGTGACCAAATAAAAACTCAAACATCACAAACCAAACCAGCAGTAAACATTAAAGTGTGCTGACCCTGTAACTCTTCATACCTGTCAGTCAAGAAGGCACAGATGATATTCTTGGCATCTTTGGAGATCTCCACATCATCAGGAAAGTTTAAAGAGTTCTTATGGTCCATTATCTTACTGTACGTTCCCACCAGAGAGTCAGCGTAGAATGGTGTGTCACCTTTAAAGCAGATACAGAAAGTGAGCAGAAGAAACTAGTCAATAAGAACTATTTCTGCATTCTGGTTTTGTCCAGTCAATATGACCGTAAGAGTTGTTTACTGACCAACAAGCATCTCGAAGATGAAGACCCCAACAGACCACCAGTCACATTCTCTCCCATAATAACCATCTCCACCCTGGGACTTGAGCACCTCGGGAGAGATGTAGTCTGGAGTCCCGACAGCTGTGTCACAATGCACCATGCCAGTCTGCAGAGGAAAGCCAGGAATCAGTACAAATCAGAAAATCACAATGTGATATTATAGTCAGGCTGCAAAGAAGCTAGATCATGATCCAAAACTTGCTGTATAGTCACTAGATTGCGTAATATGCTGATGAGGATACCAGTTATGTCATTACATCGCATCTGCATCCTAACATGAGTCAGGTTTCAGCACGTCATCTGTTTCCTTCTCTCCTACTCAGTCAACAGAATTTCTGATAAAACTGATCTCATTTTTATCTGTGAATGAAAAACATGCAACTGTGTTACAGTACAAGTATGAAACAAAACCTATTAAAGGCTCATTTATGCTGAACTTGAGATATGTACATAGAAACGGATGGAGCGTTCTGTCCGTGCTCTGCGTTCAGCTCCATTCACATTTGTGCAGGTCTACTGAACACTAACGGATATGGACAAACCAGACCAAATGGAGCAGTAGTACCAACAGAAATCATAGGGGGCAGTGTAGCCAATAGCTGAAGTGAGACAACGAGTAGTGGAACTTTTTGAGGACAGACTTTGCAAGTTGGTAAGAAACTACATTCATCTGCATGATGTTACTTTGTCGGGGCAGAGGGACAAACAGCCGCTTTCCCTCTTCCTTAAGAGGTTCCCTATTCCCTATCACAACATTCTCCATCATCGCCATGTTTGTTGTCACAAACTCTCGACTCTCCGCTGCACTCTAGTGGATGTAGCCAACACAAAGGACGCAATAGCGCATGTGTGCAGTGATGTTTACATAGATTGTTAAGAATGGATCTCTTTTCATATGCAAAGGTAAGATTAAAGAGCCTTAAGCCGACAAGTTAATCCAACTGTGGCTCTGCACTGCAAACATCCTGACTTCATAACTACAACTTTCAACATAGAATTAACCAAAGTCAAAGGCAAACGCTGTGCTCTGATTTCAGCTATATTACTTTATCCGCTGAGAGAATCATAAGCAGCAGAACATGTGTCTCACATAATGCACAGCCTCAGTCTGTGTAGCAACCTGCTGCTCCTCCTCCTCTCTGGTACTCACTGAATTGAGTAGGCACAGAGAGGTGCTTCTCCCTCACAGGGCTGTGCTTTGAAAAAGTAATTAAACAGGTCTAAAAGGTTTGTAAATCTTAGTCTAAGTATTCCAATCTGTCTGTAAACGCCCCCTTATGATGACGTTATTGAGACTCTTCTCGCCAACTAACTTTCGTGGGGAAATAGTTGTGATTCACCCCTGAAAAAGGCAGCAGTAGAAATAAACACATTTTCAGAAGCATGACATGCTGCTTTAACTCACAGTGTCCATCTTCATGCACGTTCCGAAGTCAGCCAGCTTGAGGTGTCCATGTCCATCTAGCAGCATGTTGTCTGGCTTGACGTCACGGTGGATGAAGCCCATTGAGTGAATGGCATCTAGGGCCATCACCACCTCCGCTGTGTAGAACTTGGCCCATTTCTCTGGCACGTCGTAGGTGCTGGTGAGGTTGACCAAGTCACCTCCTGGCATGTACTCCATCACCATGTAGAGGTAGTGCTCATCTTGGAAGGCACAGCACAACTGCACAGGGCACGCACAAGCTCTCAATACAAGAGAATGGCTATTAACATCATCTATTCATTATTTCTGTCGGACTGCAACGTAACATGAAATTAAATGTACGTTCAAAATATAAATGTAGCACAAAACTAATATCCTACATATAATTTGAAGGATCAAAGAATAGGAAAAAAGACATACATTCATCACAATCTGAAAACAATAGTGAATTATTAAATATCATACCTGCACAACCCATGGACTGTTGGCGAACGCCATTATGTCCCTCTCCTCCCAAAAAAAGGCGGAGTCTGAGCGCTTAATCATCTCAAACTTGCTCAGCAGCTTCATGGCATAAACCTTCTGAGAGGCTTTATGTCTGACCTGCATTGTGGTGGTGATAACAATAATTCGAATTTAGGATTCACATAAAAACACTTTGAAAAACAATTTGATGAGGTTATAGGGGAAAAATAGTCAGTGGCTGACAGTTATTTCATCCTGATACATGATTCCACTTAAATGTTGTTCACTAAATGAACATTTTGAGCTCAGAATCTGCAGTAGTATACAAGAGCTTTAGTTTCACAGTCTTTGATTAACTGAAGAGGCAGTGCATTGTTTATACAAAGTCACAATCGCAATGGATTTACATGTAGTTATCCTGAAAACCCAGACAGAGACATTTTCACTCTCATTATTACCATAGAAACAAAATAATGGAATAACTTGGTCTTAATTAAGAAATTGATTCTTCTTTTATTGTTTTTTCTGCACTGCTTATTTTCCTCTAATTTGAGTTATGTACATTGTCTATTATGATAATGAACTACACTGCACAAGGTAATTTTAATGATATCTTCCAGGTAAATGTCTGGTTAATTCTTTACTTCTGGTTAGTCCCCCTAATGGAGGCTAGTGTGCCACAACATGTGGGTGCATTTTTGTGTATCTTTGCCATGGATTAGTCACACCAATAAAGGCTTTTTATTTTTTTACATAGAAACAGTGCCTTGATATTTTTTCCCTTTTTGGTATCAAAAACCAAAATAATATTTACATCGATTAATACTCACCAGTTGGACTTCACCAAATGCCCCTCGACCGATGACTTTAACTCTGTCAAAGTCTTCAGACTTCATCTGGAGGTCTCGAATTTGTCCTATTACTTTCTCATCTGAAGATCAATGAACAATCTATTAATAATGTTGTCAATAATCAATAAAAGACAGAAGGCATATATCATCTGCCCCTCTCTCTGATTGTCAGTGACACAGAGAAACTACTTACATCTGTTTAGGAAGGTTTCAATGTTTTTGTTCTTGCGTAGTGCTGGATAGTCCAAGTCTAAGACCAGGGCGTTCATGGAGTCCTACATGGAGAGAAAGAAAACATCATCAGTCATGACATCATGTCATTAACATCCTCGTCTGCCATCTCAGAAGCATCTCAGGTTTCTGGTTCTCATTAAAACCATGAATGGTAGTGACCATCTCCTTGATCCAAAATGAACGTTTCACCATCGGCAAACAAATAAACATGACAAGGGCAGTAATGTATTAGGAAGTAGCTGCAAGCAGCCACATCACAATAAAGAGGATTAACAGTGGAATTGAGAGTCCGTCGTCACTATATCTTCGTCCTCAGCAAAGACATCAGCTGCAGCATAAAACTATTTAGTGCTGAAACAAAACTCATAAACCAGAGCGGATTGTGTGCAGTCACACAGCATATTAAAAGCCCACTGACTCATCGGCTGATCTTATCACTTCTTTCCCATAAACAGCAGTGAGTGTAATTAAGTGTAACTTTAAAACATCATACTGTCTGTCATACAAGTCTGCAAAAATACAGTGACACAACCAAGACTTGTCTACTCCTCCCATCCACTTTTAATTGCGCAAAAAGTTAAGTGATGTGTGATATTTTTCAATTTCAATACATTTTAGATGCAAACTAACCCAATACTGGACAAAGTATTCATGTTTTTGCTGAGTGTGAACGTCTGATGCTGCCAAGCTAGACATGGAATTCAAAAACAAAATGAAATAGACAAAGTGCAACCAAGTGGTGATTCCACATCCATCGTCCCCCTTGATGACAACTTAAATGCTCTTAAAAAATGGGCACAGCAAATTATGAAGCCTGCTGAGACACAGATTGCTCAATGCTTTGTGAATTTTGAAGTTGTTAAGAAAGCTACTCATCAGTTGGATTGAAAAATGAACTGAGTGCATTAATGTGTTCAATTGTTGGGAATTTGCATATATTTTTTGCATCTATTTGCATGTGTTTTCTTCTGCTGCATTGTGTTAAACTCTCAGAGTAACAATATGATGAGAGGGTCCATACTCTAAATTACCAAAAGCTGGCAAACATTAAACCTTGCCATTAAAGGCAGTAGAGAGCAGCATGAGAGTTGAACACTGCTGACTGCCTGTCGAAGAAGTTTATTTTCTGTATATTTTCTCATGACTTCTGCAGAACAAAAACTGTTCCACACCACTGCACGCTGAAAAGTCTGAATTTAAACAAACACCTTCACTCAAGCATTTCATTCAGTTCATTCAACTTGACTGACTGATTACATAAACAACTATATGCACAGAAAAGAAAATGGTTTTAACTGACAGATTTTTTTGACAGTGAAGCACGATGAATAATTTTTACATCTGCAGTGGGTGTGAGACATGAACCCACCTCCATATGAGGTGTAAAAACTGCATTTACCACACCACTGGCATTTGGGCACTTTCTACATATACTGTTGCTGATATAAAAAAGACATTGGTTTGCTCCGGGTATTGCAATGATTTGTGAACAAGTCTGTCAAAGGTGTGTAACATGTCAACAGTTTTATACTCCACAGATAGAATGTGTGTCGTAAGCTGCCCTACCAGGTGCAGCAGTTGGGATCTGGTCCACAGCATTGTGTTAACTTAACTGAACACAAGCTGATTATTTGGTGCATTAAGTCTTATAATGGACCTGGGGTGATGTAGGGAAACAATTAAATAAGCAAAAGACAGACAGACGCAAAGCCTTAATTGTTACAGCCTGTAACCGTGAGGAAGTCATCTATCAACATCTGGCAGCTGTGCATTCCTCAACCATCAATGAGGAACTTTCTGAACATTAAAACAGGCCAAATGTTACAACAGAGAATACAAGAGCCCAAGTCTGACCCAGCTCTGTAAACCACTGTCTTTCAAACATGTCTTCTACTTGTCTTTCTCCCATTGTTGCAGTGACAGATAGGATGACACAACTTGTTTCATGTTTCCTTTGTACATCTCTTTTGCCTTTTTCTGCAGCTCTCCCTCCATCTTATCTGCCTGTCCTCCTGCTCTCTCCATCATTCTCCGCTTGGCTGCAGTCGGTCTGCAGGGTGCTGCACCCTCTGTTTCATCATCTCAACTTCACTTCCCCATTAAAGGACTGACCTCACACAAACTACTATTTAAGGAAAAAAAACACACGCCGGGGGGTGGAGAGGGGTTGCCAAGTGCGTGTGCACGTACGCAAACACGCGCACATGCACAAGGATCTCCCTCCGAGCACGACGGGACAGGAAATGATCCACCCCACCCCGGGGCTGGCAGATAATTTTGGTGTGTCATGAAGCTTGTCCCTGTGTGCAAGTCATTTCCTCTGAGCCAGCATTCTCTGCCACGGGCACTTCATTTGTCTGCAGCCCAAAAAAAATATGGACATGCATGGCTGCTGCAGGTACAACCATGTATGCAATGCATCTGTTACCTGCAAGTTCCTCATAGTAACCTCAGAGCCATATACCGCATATGCAAACTCCAGGGCCACGATGTCTGTAAAGCTGAATGCACTGAACTCCAGATATTCTCCTGAAATTATCTGGAGGGGCTGTGTGTGAGAATGCAAATGTCTGAGTCAGTTTCTGTCAGACGTTCTCTAGAGCCCTCTAGTAAAAACATTCACCAAATTCACAATGAGGGCAATACTGAAAAATAAAAGTAATTAATTAAAAATGGAATACAAAGATCAGGATGAAATAGAAGTGCTATACCCAGACACTGACACTATTTAGTGTATCTAAATAACTACCAACTCACCTTTAAAGTGAAAATATACTTTTTATGTGGGTCTATGTTTTTATGAGAAATTAAAGATTGCTGGTTTATTAAAAAATTTACTTTTTGTTATTATCATTTCAATAAATGGTTTCATAACAACTTATGGTCCAAATATCAGCAGCCTGTGGGTACATGCTAAAGTCTATAACATGCTGTGGTGCATTTGCTTTCCTGTCCTGTGCAATGGCAGGAGAACATGAATGACGCACTTACAAAGCAAACAGTGACAAGTGTCGCTAAACTGTTCAGAAGTGTTGCGTGTATTGTGAGGAAAAGGTTATGTGAGCATGTGAAGAACGGCAGCAATCCAACATCACCAACATATAGTTGAAGTCTATAGTTGTAGGTGTTACAATCTCAACAACAAAGCAGCATGGCAGGTACTCGCCTCAGATTCACAAAATTCCAAGTTTGGACATGAAAATGCAAATGACAAAAGTAGTTTGTTGACAGTTGCCACGTGAAATACTAAGTAAACACTGTGTTGCTACAGTTGGATTTGCTACATTAGCAAGACATTCCCCCATCTGCAAACTGGACCTCATGGCGGCATATTATCCCTCTGTCTGTCATTTCTATATCTCCACATTAAACAAGATTAATCAAGCGTGGAGGAAAGACAAATAAATACATGTTACCCTGGTGACTGGTGGCTCTTTACATCTCTGCAGAGGAGACACAGAATTATGTTAGTTAATGTTTGTGACAGCTTTGTTTTGTTTGCTCTGCAAATCAAGCTGAACTTTAATATCTGGATTATATGGCTCGAGACAGAAAAGGGGGGGTAGTCTGAGTTGTGTTTATGAGGGTGTAAGTCAACAGAACCCTTTAGCCTGTGCTGACAGTACTATTCAAAGTGTGCAGGATATTTTGCTATTGAAAATAGGAGATATTCCCATATGCTTTATTATTTATTGAAGTACTTAAATAAACTACATTGGCACATTTTTAATATCAGGTTTGCAGGGATTCCACAGGTCATGCATAATAAACTGTTCAGTGCATTGGGGTTACACGAGAGAGATGGCTCGATGCAGCTGCTCTAATCTGCCTCCATTAGTATTATTGTTTAAAAGAATGCCAACAAGGCTCTGGAGGACATTTTGCAGGTATTTATAAATATTAAATAACAGACAAGTGTCTGGGGATGTGTAAAGCTTGATCCATAATTTAAACTTTAATGCATCTGACATTTCTGGACCTACTCCAGACAGTCATTGATCCTCCTCCCTTGTCCACGGTCATGTTAGGGAATGTTTTTCGTAACAATCGATCTAAATAATTACAAACCTTGATGACAGTTTCTATAGCACACTTTGGACATACAGGACATTTTTTCTATGCAGCTACTTCCTGGGCTGATAGGAGTATCTGTCCACTTAGGCTTATCAGTATAAGTTGTTATGTGTCTATTAGATTGCACTCCAGCATGTTATCTATGCTATACTGCAATCCAGCCAATGGGTTATGGCTGGTTGCTAAGCAACATACAACTGCAAAATACAAAGAGTTGAACAGAGTTGAAGCTACAGAGAAGCAGCAGGCAGGAGTTTTATAAGCACATTCTATTCTTTTCCTTTTTATTTACACAACCTGCTGTTGACATTACAAAGCTGTCGTTCTCCCTTTGCCTGCTTCCACTTTTTAATCACCCTATAAAAAGCCACGTGGATCCACCACTCAGGAATGAGATGATGTTAACCTGAAAGGAGCTAAACACAATAAAGAATCACCCAGCTATTCAAAGCCTCTCCTGCTCCATCTGCAGACTTTCCCAAAAGGAATAGGCCAATGCCCATCTCATCACTAGGCATGTGGAACAGAAACAAGCAGCACTGCTCTGGGCTTTAAAAGGATTCAGTAGAAAGTTAATGTTTTGATTGAATTCCAGCAGTTTTAAAAATAGTTGTGGGGATAAATTGTGGGCCAGGCAGAGTGAGGGGGCCGTGCCAGGCAGAGCCCGTAAACTCCTCAAGAACGACACAACAGCAGGAATCCTGCAGCGGCCCCACAAATAGCACTGCTAATGTCTCCACAGGGAATGACATGATTATGTCTTACTCTTGTGTTTGACAGATTCCTGTCCCATGTTCCTGTGCCATATGCTTTTTTGGCATCCATGCTTTATTATAAAGTACCGTGAGGAATGTGCCAGGAAAATACCCTGGACTGCATGAGACAGTAAAGTCATGCTGCATGTAGACCTTAAAATCAGCTCTCTAAAAGAGAATAAATGTTCCACTGAGGGAAATAAATAAGTGAT